CCCGACCAAGAAAAGGATCCATCCATGTCATGTATGCGTCTGTGTGTGTCGTATGTGCATCAGTTGTTGGACGCGAGTGACCTCAAGTGTGGTCTGCTGTGGTCGGACCAAGTGGTGACCAACTGGCGCAAACTGCTGACACTCTCATTCGTGCCACTCATGCCACATGACACACACGACAGCCACACTTACAGACTCGCAGCACTCACCGCAGACGGACGCAAAACAGGTAGGGACCTGCCGAACGATCGACAAAAGTCTCTTTCCCTCCTGTGTGCATTGCAGAGCTATGGGACATCTTGGTCAACAGCAGTGCCCCCAGCAGTAGCCGCGAGAGCTCCATCTCGCCCTCCTACTCGCTCAGGCAGCCACAGAAGCCAGCGATGAGCCCACCAAAGGCCGCATCAGGAGCCGCCATCAGCTGCGTCAGCAGGGATGTCTCTGACCAGCAGCATCGCAGCAGCAGGAGGGAGAGGGAGAGGGAGTGGCAGGGCTCTGCAGCTGCGCGCACAGGTAGACGGACGGGTGAAGGAAGAGACAAGGGCCACCAATACCATTCATTGCTGTGTGTCCTCACTCTGCGCAGGTGGCAGCGATGGCCTCCCCGTCAGTCGGCCGCAGGGGATGCGTCGAGAGGACGACAAGGCCCCGCCACCATCATTCGCCCTGCCCTTCCGCCCCAAGCTGCTGTACCTGCCACGGCGGCCGTCGATGCACCCGCCCGACAATAGCGACGATAGCCTCCCTCTGACCAGCCGCAGCGAGCAGCCGAGGGAGGGACCGGCACTCAGCCCTGTCAAGGCAACCGCTATGCCGGGGGGTAAGCGAACATGGGCTGGCTGGGGCTGTCTGTGACCATGTCTCATTGTGTGTTGGTACCTGTCAGACTCTCCGCGTTTGCCGCACTCGACCACCACCCACAAGCAGTACCACCCCGCCCCTCTGAGTCAGACGACCAGCGCCACCAAAGGCGGCATCGCATTCGACCTCGACCTCAACTCGTCCAACCCGCATCTGGCCGCCCTCCTCTCACACACACAACGAGACCAAGACCCGCTGCCCTCCAAGGGCGCACTCAGATACGCACCTGGCGCGAGGCGGCATGTGCTGTGCACCTCCAGCCCCAATGGCAGTGGATTCTCGCCTACTGTGGTGCCCCCTTATGCGACGGATGTCAGAGAGGACCCCATCGACGAGAACGATGCAGAGGAGAGCGGGGGCGCCGGAGCCACAGAGACAGAGAAGAAAGGCAGCCGCCCGTCGATGGGGTCGGAGGGCGAGGATGAGGACCCCACCATGACGCGGGTGCAGACCATGCTCAAGGACTTCCAGCTGCGCGTCGTGTCGGGCAAGAGCCAAATCGAGTCAGAAGCAAAGACCACAGGCAGGGACCTTCTGCGCCAACAACCAGAAGAGCCCAAAGACAGCGGTGCAGCAGCGGCGTTGCCGGCCAGCCAAAAGCGACGGGAGCGGGGGATCCCCACGCCCATCACCAGCACACGGGCCGAGACAGAGGCGACGGAGGAGCCCTCTTCATCCCGGTCTGGTCGCGACGCCCCCAGTGAGTCGACAGACCGCCTGCCGTTCACACAGGTGCCGCTGCTGACGCCCCTCTCGGGCGTGGCGTCATCCAACCCCCTGGCTCGGGTGCGGCGGAAGCAGCAGAGGGACGGCATGATGGGCGGGGGTGGGGCGAAGGATGGGGCGAAGGTGCGGATGATGGGCGGGTTGCGTGCGATGGGTACAGGTATGGGTATGGGTGTGGGTGTGGGTATGGGTATGCGTGAGGGGTGGCTGCCGCCTTGGGAGGGCGGCGTGGGGGCGGGGATGGGGCTGGGAGGTGTAGATAGACGCACGAGGGGCGAGGGGGAGAGGGACGCTGACGAGGCCGCAACGCTGCCGCCTGACTCCATCGATAAGGTCAGTCGGCTGTGAGACATCTGGACGACCGTTGAAGTGTGTCTGTCTGTGTGTGTGTCAGATAATGGATCGCCATGCAGTGGTGATGGAGGCGATGAACCGCCGGGTGCGGCTGATCCGCAGCCTCAGAAGCCTCGTCGAAAGACGTACACACACCACTTACAGAGAGAGAAAGCCCACGGGCCTTCATGCCGTCCATTGTGTGTTCGATGTATCAGAGGACTTTGTGGCTGCGATCGAGGAGCTGCGCCGGTGCCCAGCCGATGTGGGGACGGTGGTCGATTACTTTACCGCTATCGAAAAGGCCAACTCGGTGCCGCTCATCAACCTCGGTCAGCAGAGAGAGGGAAACGACCCTCTGTCATTGGACATGCTCCTCTCGTGGCTGTCGCAGATGTGGCGAGTCGGCTGCTTCAGATCTTGTTGGACGTGCTGGTCAAAGAGGGCCCCAGATTCGACGTCAGTGAGACACACCCACAGTGGCTGGGATGGATGGTGTGGTTGGCATGTTTGTGTGCAGGCGATATTGTCGTTTGTGTTGCGCCACGTGGGCCGTCTGCTGGACCTGCACGGCGGCACCATCAGGGAAAACATCGCAACCGCACACACGCACACAAGTGAGGGAGTGGGTGGCCATGGATGGATAAGCCTGCTTGTATGTGTGTTTTGCCACACTGGTTGGTTATCTGGCTGCATTCATTCTTTCATGCGTTCAGAGTGCCCGGTGGACATCTCGCACGAGGAGCGCCTCGCGCGGTGTACTGCATGCTACGACGTACTCGAGGTATCGATCCATGTACACATGGCCATTCGCTCATCTGCCGTTGTGTCCGTGTTCAGTCGTTGTCTCGCGTGTTGACTGAGCAACATGCCCAGCGCAAAGATGCCACCGGTGAGATGGCGGACGTGCATACGCCCCGTTGTGCGCATGTCCATGTGTCTGTGCGTGTGTGCAGGTGACGGTGTGCGGTCTCTGCAGCGGCACCTGAAGCTCATACTCGACGCCAAGGGGACGCCGGCAGGCTGATCGGTCATGCAATTGAGGGATGGGTGGCATCGGGCAGGCAGAATTGTGTCAGTCTGTTTGCGTGCCGTGGCTGGGTCGGTACTCTTCATGCGTGCGTGTTGACAGAGCCTTGCTGCGATCGATGAACCTTGGAGACACACATATGGATGGATGTGCACTCGTTCATCAACGCACGGATGCGCACACGTAGATGGGTCTGTCTGTCTGTCTGTCTCTCTGTCTGTCGTTTGGTATGGCAACGAGTGCGCGACATCCAGTGTCGCTTCGATGGCTACCCAGCCGGCAACACACACTCCACACCGATGCTGCTATCTGACAGAAACGGGCAACCAGCGCGGACACGACACGACACGACAATAAGGGTGGACAAACGGATGTGTCGTGCTGCTTCGTCGGCGTCTCACCTTGTCTGTTTCCTTCACGTCAGTGCCCACACTTCGATTTCCGTCGCTGTGAAGTTCTTGTCTGTCGCCAGTGTGCCGTTGTTTTTCGTTCCCACCAGCGCCCCTCGATATCCGGCCGGCAAGTGGGCCTTGTTTACCCACATGTGGCACGTCCTGAGGTCGGCAGCAGGGCCAGGGTCAGCATAACCCAGCCAGAGAGCTGCTTCATTCCGGCCGGTGATGCACACCTTGCCGTGTGGCTGCCCATCGCTGCCCGTCAACGCCCCCTCCCGCCCAGCGACCGCCACCTTCTGCCCCTCTACTGGCAGGGGTATCTTGGTGGGCGCGTCATACGCCCCGCTGATGCTGTACAAGGATATGGCGCAGGGGGTGTGCTTGGACCGTGTGGGGTTGAGGGGCGGTGTGAGGGGGCCGTCGACGGTGAGTCCGAAGAGGTGGGCGGGGCCGTCTCGGATGAGGAAGAGGGACCGACGAGCGCCGAGCGTCTTGTCGAAGAAGGTGGCATACTTGAAACCATCACGGGATGACCTAAATGCATGAAAGGCATATCAGCTGCACAGGTGTCTGTGTGCGTGATGCGTCACTTGTAGAGTAGCTTCATCGTGTTGATGTACGTATAGCGACGCAGCCAGTCACGCAGCGCGCGATAGCTGCCAAAGAGCGAGGACTACGCACAAACTGCGCACACAAACACATACGCCGTAAAGGCAAGGATTTTCGTCTGTCAGTCTGTCTGTTCCTAACCTGCTGACCGGCTGTGCAGATGTAGTGAGAGGCCGCCATGAGCTCCACACCCGCATGCTGCATGCAAGAGGCAGGCATGGCACAGCACACGTCAGTGAGTGCCTGAACACATGAGATTTGTGTCCAGCTTCAGCTTACCGAAGGTGAGCTGTCGATTTTGGCGCTGAACGACTCTATTTTCTGGCTCATCTGCTGCTTCATGTCCTTGATCTGGTCGCTGAACTCTGTGCGCACGTCAATTGACACCTCCTCAACCAAATACTCGCGCTGCTCCTGACACACACAACGCAACGCAACCAGAAGCATACGCCTTTTGGCCTTCGGTCGCCTTGCCCCTTTCTCACCTGCACTTCTTGCGCGAGTGCCTGGCGGGCAGCGACCTCACGCTCCAGCCAAGAACGGAGGCGAGCCTCCCTCTCTGCAGACTCCTGCGCACACATACATACGCACATGCAACGCCTGCAGCGTCTTGGCCTGCGGATGGGTCATCAATTCACCTGCCGCGTGACCTGCGCCATCTTGGCGTGGCGCTCCCTCATGCTGCGCATCTCCTGCGTGCGTGGCCATACACAGATATCCACCCGTGCGCAACGCCCAGATTGTGGTCGTCTGATCTGCGCACCTCCTGTTGCTGCTCGAGCAGCGCCCTCATGCTATTCATCTCCTTGTCGTAGCGCTCCTTCATGCTGCGCACCTCCTGGACACACAAACCCCAGAGAGTGCGTCAAATCGAGTCCATGTGCTTATCCGTCAGATCTTGTACCTTATCGGTCTGCTCTTTGTGCTTCTCGAATGCCAGCTGCAGCACTTCGATCCCCGACCGCCCACCGCCCAGCTGTGGCGGGCCGGCCGTCACGCCAGGAGCTGCTGGCGGCCGGTAGGTGCAGAGACGCCGCGCCTCATCGGGGTCAGCCGCAACCTCCTCACGCATATCCGCCAAATCAGCTCCACACATCGGCGGCTCGCAAGTAAATTAGTAAATTTGTGTGTGCCCGACGGGATGAGCGGCCTCTATCACTTGGATGAGCCGCTTGAGGCGCTCAAGATCCGTGCCACACTGCTGAGAAAGACCGATGGAGGAGATCTGCCACTCGCCGCCAGCCACCCGTCCCTCCCGCCGACAAATGGTGGTGGTCAACCAGGAGGGGAGAAAGCAGCGGGAGGCGAGCAGTATGAGGGTGCTGCTGAGGTGCACGTGGCGGAGTTCCGGTGGCAGGAGAAAGTCCTCAGCCCGGCGTGAGTTTCATGCAGAGATCGGCTGTCGTTCGTTGTCTGGATGTGTTCTTCCTTTGTTCGTCCAGGGCTCCCTCGAGCGCATATGCGGCCACCACCACGAGCCAACAGCACGCGGCTGCAGGAAAGGTGCAAACCACGGGCAATCAGATGCGCTTCTCTTCTCACTCACTGTCCTGCCTGCGTGCCTTGTTTCATTCAGGTGCTGTTCACGTACGTCGACCGTGACATCGTCGGGCAACACGAAGGCGCCGTGCGAGCACTAGCTGCCTTCGTGCTGCAACCTATCACCACATCGGCAAAGGCAAAGTGAGGACACAGCCACACGCACATTGGATGAGCACGATTGGTGAGTCCGCATTTGTGTGTGTGTGTGCGTGTGTGTGCAGGGTGCCGGATATAGCGTTTGAGGAGGTGGGTTTGCGGAGCCGGAGCCAGCCGCAGAAGTCCCGGCTCCGCGATGGCCACAAGGAGTCCATGCTCATCATGGGCAGCATCAAGGAGGACAAGTAGATCCACAAGACACAGAGAGATTCATCCCATATTCTGTCGTTCTGCCTTTTCCTCCCTTTCCCCACTCCATCAGTGGTGATGCGCATGAGGTGCTGCTGTGTCAGTTGGCGGCCCATAGGCTGGAGGCCGGTGGGGCTGGAGGCCTGGGCGACTCGCCCCGGGGCGTGGCGCCGTCGGCCCTCGGTGGGGCCACACAGAAACGGACGACACTGCTCGAAGTCACGGTGGGTGACTCACAGACAGCCATCCAGCCCCAACAGCAACAGAGGCATCCATGCTGTGTGCTGTTTGTGTATTGCAGCCTCGCTTCCCATCGACCGAGAGCGGCAAGTCCGCCACATTCTCCCTGCCTGGGGTGAACAGTTCAATTGGCAACAGCAATGAAAAGGGCGACCAGTGGATGGTCGTTCTTTCCCTCTGTCCAGGGTCAGGGCCACCAGTATGAGGTCCGCATAGAAGTGTTCGTCGAGGGCGGGGACGCCATCACCATCGAGGGCTTCATCGACGCGCAGAAGAACAGACGGAGACTCGAAGAACAGTAATCGTCCCACTACACACACACACAAGACACGCAAACGCACTTAGCCTGCCTCATTTTCGGCCCGTCTGATCACTTTCTCAGGGCTCTCGCGCTGTACGAGAACCTCGCCGGTCCAGGATTCGCCCCTCTGCGCATTGCCGCCCCGCCATCGGTGTTGGCGGCGGACATGGAGCCATTCTGGTCCAGTGAGGGGGCCACCTTAGGGCCCTTTGGCTCCGCGCCGTCACTGTCTGTGGGCGCGCCGCGGGGCATCCAGTGCGTGTGGTCTGTTTTCGGGCAGCTGCTCAGATACGATGCTGACGGTGAGAGAATCGGGGGCGAGGGATGTGTGTGTGGATGCCCACCGTGTGTTAATGCAGGTGTGTTGAAGCAGGAAGCGACCACCAAGGTGTGTATCCGAGTGAACACAACACTGGTAGAAGCATGTATGTGTGTGTGTATGACTTTACCGGTCAGAGTGAGGCGTTGTGGGGCTCCTCCCCTGCATCCTCCCACACGTTTGATGATGCCAGCACCGCCGTGACGGTGACGGACTGGCCGACATCATACCTCAACGACGAGATGTCAGGTACACCTACAGAGCAATGGAGGGAGGGAGGGAGAGAGGGAGGGAGGGAGTGAGAAAGGGCTCATGTATGTGTCTCTCTGCCTGGCTTTTGTCTGCCCATCCATCCATCCATCCATGAGTGCAGAGTTCCCGCCTGAGTGGTATCGCGTCAGAGGGCCGCCTGGCACACCATCGCCGTGGAGCCTACTCTTCGGCAGGTAGGTCAGAGATGAACCGACACGAAGGCATACACACATAAACAAATCGCTTCACTGGCTTGGTTGTCATCAGGTCGTATTCGGTAGCGATCGAGGGCATCTTGCCGCCGAATGATGGTCAGCAGGCGGGCAGGCCATTCAATCATGCACATAAATGTGTTGCGTGTTGGTCAGGTTGGCGTGCTGAGATAGGCGGGACGGATGACGAGAGCCAAGACATTGCGCCTGACGACATAGACCCACTCTTGTAACAAACAGATCGAGGGAGAACGTCTGGCAGCCATTGGTGTATCCCTGCTCTCTCTTGCTCAGCATCTACCGCAGCACGACAGCGCAGTGCTTCGCACCGCCTGGATACCCCATATACACATTCGGACACGTCAGCGAGCCAACACGCACCTTATTCATCGATAGCAAGCCATAAACCCACCTGTGCTGCTCTCCTTTGTCACCTGTCATCCATCAGCCCATCGAAATGCACTTCGCTGCCCTGGAGAAATCCGCTGATCGAGGTCAAAGCGACAACCGCGCACAGACGAACCAATATGAGCTCTGGTAATGTGTGTGTGTGTGTGTGTGTGTTCATTGATTGGGTGCAGAGGAGACGCCGCTGTCCCCGCCGCCTCGTCTGTTCTTCCTGGTAAGTGCATTTCTGCGGGCAAAGTGTGCACACATTGGTTGGTGCTGGGTGTGGTCAGGTGTACAGCAAGGATGGGTTCGGCAAGTGCGGCATTGAGGGCTATGGATATGTAGACGTGCCGCTAGAGCCAGGTACTCAGTTACTTGCACACATACACACACACACACACACACACACCGCACACAGTGTGGTGTCCGTTTGTGTTCTGACAGGCCAGCATGAGGTGGAGTGCTCCATATGGAAGCCCATACAGCAACAGGTCTCATGACACATATGCACAGAAACACACAAAAGACCTCGTCCAACCGCTGATGCCCTACAAATCTATCGACAGGCGCAGGAGAGGCTCCTCGGTTCCAGGACACCCCTCTTCTACCCCAAACTTGCTGCATACACTGACGTACGCACCACTCAACCAGCAATGCAATGCCCTACCACAAAACGACACACATTCCTGTCTGTCTGTCTGTCTGTCTGTATGTCATCTGTGTGTGGATCAGAACAACGGCACGCCCCGCAACCGGTCTGCCATGCTGACGTCCAGCCAGCGGGGTGTGCTGCAAATGCAGCTGTCCGTCATCAAAAGACAAAGGTGACGATAGAGAGAAGAGACGTAGACCAATAACTCAGGAGCTCCTAGTGACGTCCTTTCCTTGTGTGGTCGATCTGAAGGCGGGGTGCGGTTGCCCGCGGTCGTCGTGTGGGTGGCACTGCTGCTGTGAGCCGCAGTCTGAGCCCGGAGAGGCCAGGGAGGGAGCGAGATGAGGGCAACACCATCAGTGTGAGCCAGTCGATGCCCAGGCTGCCCCCACTGTAGACAGCTGGATGGATGGATGGATGGGTAGACAAACGATGTGCCTCTCGGACATCTCTTGGCCACGTTGCTGTCTCCTCAATGCTGTTTCCACTTCCAGACATCTATACTGAAGGGACGTGCCATTTGCCGCCCACACACATAGCATAAGCCACACTTGAGTCCTTGGTAGTCACATTAAAGGGCCGTCCATCCGCCGTGGCGCTCCATTGAAACTCCCCACTCTCGATGGCAACATGAGTCCCATCACCGTATAAGCGGTGAGAACACAGGGCGCGCTTGTTAGCCACGTCACGCCCCTTCCAACAGTTGGTTGGATCGCAGCAGCCGGGGCCCCATATACGCCATTTGTGTGCGGCTGGCATGAGGTTGCGGCCATAACGCTTCCATGTCTCGCACATCGCACCGAACGGCATACCAACGAGAACATTCCTGTATGGATGATGCATAGACAAAAGGATGATACGAAGGAAGGATCTTTGGCTCATGTCATGTCTCCCTGTCTCACCTTTTGGCTAGCTTTGCATCGTCCAATGGGCCGGCTCTGTTACTCAATTCCACAAACGAGACAGGCTGGTGGCTATACACACTCCGGTCCGCGGTCGGGTTGGTCGGACTCGCTGATGCGATGCGTATCGACCGATATATACAGTGGACAGAGAGTGACCCATCCTTTCATTTACTAGTGAGAGACACTCACTTGAAAGGGAGAATGAGACTTGAAGAGCAGATAAAGACTCGGGACCGGTCGGTGCTGGTGGGAAGGCGATCCCAATAAGAGCCTCATGCCCGAGAATCTCTCTCAGCAGCAGCGAACGCCTTTCAACATTGATTTCCAGTGCGGTAAGTGTCCCATTTGCATGGTTTCCGCGGTAATTCTTGTGTACCAGGGTCTGGTAAGCCCTCCCAAGCGCTTCATCGACAGCCAACACAGAGGCAAGCCACAAACTGAGCAGCAGAGAAGTGCTGAACAGCCCGCTGCCCTCCGGACGCCAGTCGAAGCGCCGCTGGCCGACAACATCAATCGACAGAGGCCAATGTGAATCCTCCCATTCTCATGGGGGGTCTCCAGACGCAGGCGATCGGCGTCTGTGGAGTGCATGGAGCGTCTTGTATAGCCTCGATATCGTCAATCAGTGCTCGAGGACAGCAAATGCGACGTCAGACCGTCTCTCCTGACCACCCATCCAGTCAACAGCGAGGTTTTGTGCCCCTTGTGAGCCTCTCTTGGCCGCCAGCGCAGTGACACAGGAAGAAGAGAGTGCGCTCCCAGAGACCCCTCATGCCTTATCGCCTCGATAATTCTCTCGCCAGCGATCTCTCCCGGACCTCCCTCGCACTGCAGCTTCTGCAGCAGTGGCGGGATGCCCCGGCCTTCAAGCATAAATCGGCCTAGTCCATCGGTGCCTCCCTCATGATGGTCCTGTCTGGCAGGCACATGACACCTCAGGACAGCAGCCCCATGTTCCCCAAGCAGCGGAGAGACCTCGAAGCGACCAGAATTCGTAATGATCGTCAATGGCACATCCGCATCTGCTGGCAGAGAAAGAACCCGCCATCGTGGCCAACCATCATGTCTCTCCGATGCGAGAAAGACCAGCCCAACGGGTGAGCTGCTGTGGTTCGTATGACCGCTCAATATCAAAGGGAAGAATGCGCCACTCGGCAAAGCCTCAACGCTGCTCTTGGACAGCAGTACGGGGACAAGCAGTGGGGCAGGGCTGCGGAGTAGAAGGGATGACTGGCTCCCGCCGTCTTTGCGTCTCCGTGTGCCGGTCCTTCGCCTCTGATTCACGTGAGACGGCAGTCTGTGCTGCTTGACCAGGAAGGGAGAGTGCTTATGGCGTTTGTGCGGCGTCTTCCTGTGGCCGTGCTGGCGCGGGACAGCGATCTCCAAACCGTGATGATTCTGGCAGTTCACTGGTGACGGCTGCGATGCAGAGAGAAGGTGATGCCGCAGTGCTGGATAGCTGTACATGTCAAACGAGCCTTTGCAGCCGCCTGAAAGGCCACAGGGATCCAAACGGGGCTGCCCTTTTCCCTTTGCTGCCTGTTGTCGCTTACGTTTGCATGTGAATGTCAGCCCCCTTCAGTGACCGTCCTCGCATTGCACCTTGGCGACCAGTGAATCATGGGAGGCTGTGTGGCCGCTCAAGAACCCATCGTCGTTGGGGTAGACGGGGGCGTAGCCAGACTTCTCGTCGCACACAACCAGATGAACGTCGCCCGGCTGATGGATAAATGAAGGTAATAACAACACGGTGAGGCCCACTCTCATACCTTTCTTGCCATCAAGGCTGAGCGCTGCTTGTCTGGCGGCACCAGCTTCTCGGTGCTCTCGTCACGCTGGGCGATAGTCCTCAAAATGCGATAGGGCGAGCGAGACTCGCACTGCTTGATGCCGCATTCGCGTTTATCTTTGTGATTGCCCCTTGCGGCCTGGTAGCACGGCTCGCCTGTGTCTAGAGGGCCGACGGACGTGTGGACGGCCACACAGCGGTCGAACAGGAAAGCCTCAATCGAAGTCGGGCACACCTCTGAATCAATCAAGTATGCACTTAGCTGAGTGTGTGAATGGAAGGTGCTGGCTGCGTGGTGTGCCTTCTTACTTTCGCATCTGATAGGTAGTGCTGTCCACGTGCCGCCGAGGCACTGCACCACGCCGAAGTACTCCCCCGTGTGTGGGTTCTCGGGCAGGTGGGAAGCGTTGGCAGCGAAGTAACCCATACTGTGGTGCTCCTTATTTCTGGAAGAAAGGCACGAGACAGTGAGTGGATGGCTTCGCTTCCCTTGCGCAGTCGAAGACACGAGCTTTCTTTTTCATGATCACACCACACTTACCTGTGCGGTCTGCATTCGACTCGTCTCATGGTTCCGTGGCTGACCAGCCTCCCTTTCTTTGGCTTGTAGACCTCACTGGCCGGTATGTGGCTCGTCACAAGGTACGCATCATGGTCTGGTGGCTCGTACTCCGGACATTTGGCTGCAAGGGCAGAGAGACACAGGGGAGGGAGGGGAGGAGCAAAGATGAGATGAACACCCATTGCTGTTGGACAGGACACACGCGCATGCACTGCACGGCACGGACCTCTGCAGTGTATGTGTCGTCCGATCCATGAGCCCTCTGCGCATGTGATGATGTCTATCGTCATGTTGGTGCCAGCCACCACGTCCTATACACAACACAGACAGACAGACCAAATGCAAGACAGCAGCTGAGCGAGGGACGGTCTGGTTCGTACGGTTTGCGATATGTTTACGGGTGAGAATGTGTCTCGACAGGTGACACTCCTCTGTGTGCCGTGGAAGTTCCATTTCTCCTCTTCGTCGTTGAGGATGCGATAGCCTTTCTCCTCCGACAGAGCGAGGGCCTCTCGGATCGGGGGACAGGCCTCTGGCGGACGGACAGATTCAATTAAGGGCACATATGCATTTGTTGGTTGCCCTTGGACGGAAGGGCACCTGACTGACCCACTCAGTTGTCTTACTTTTGCACTTAAGGATGCCGACGTTGGATCTCTCCTCATCCGAGATGTTCCAGCGACCATCGGTGCAGACAAACTCCATGGATGCGCCCCTCATGCCCTGAAAGAGGTACAAGACCTCCTCCCTGCACCGTAGCTTCAGGCGAGTGCCGTGATGCTGAGGCTCGGTCATTAGACCTGCAGCCGCCATACAAAGCACAGCCGTGATTCTGTAGCCATGCTCTGGGCTGGATCTCACGTTGTGTGCCCTTGGTGAGTGCCAGGCGGCTGACGTCCAGCGGCGCACCACCCACAAACGCGTCGCAGTCAGCTGAAGGAAATCGGCCACAGAGTGCACAATGCCTTCTATCATCTGGCCTACCGTAGCAGATAAGATCAGTTGGCGACCAGACACCGTCGACGCAGCGGGACTCACTTTGGGTTGGCGACACCGCAGCACCGGTGGAATAGCCCTCAGCGCACGATATCGACCGTGTGGCCGCGTGATGCACTCCACTGCCTTCAATCGTGTAAGCGGCAACAGGCTCGAGTGATGAGAACTCTCCACAATCCTCTGCAGGCAGCCCGGTACAAGAGCACTTTGCATATCCCCACATCCCCCCCCTTCATGTCTCACGCTGGCAATTGATCATCAGGGGCGACCACGTGCCGTCATTGCACTCCACCGTTGTGTATGAGTCAGCCTCGACCCCAGCAGATGAGAAGCCATCCTGACACCTGACCAGGATCTCCGTCTCGGGGGGGTTTGAGGGACCCACGGCCTGCATGGACTCCTTCAGGAGGGCGGAATAGCGGTGCGGATCGATCTCGAGAGGGCCGCACTCCTCTGAAACAGAATGACAATAGGCATAGTGTTTGTGTCTGCTCCTCTTGGCAAGATGTGCTCACGTGCACAGAAGAGGTCTAGTGTCTCGAAGTGGCCGTTGTCGCACCGAATCGTCGTGGGGGAAGTCGTCCCTCATATGGCGTATGTTTGTCGGCCCTTCCCCAGCTCACCCTCTGGTGACGTCAGTGCCAACTCGCACGCCACCGTGACGCATGTGCCTGTGGGCACCATAACTGAGTCCGCAAAGGAGGGAGGGGCGATGTGGTCGATCGCGTAGTAGCCATCGAAGGATGAAAGCCACCGACGGAGATTGCTCATGTCGCAGTCAGCTGTACGAGAAACAGGAGACATGTATGTATGGCCAATGAATTTGCCCCGCCGTTTGTGCCGATATGCGTACCGCTGCAAGAGAGGGTTATGGGTGCAAACGTGCCGTTGGTGCACGTGATCTCTTCTCTCTCATCCGATGGCAGTGATGTCTCTTGGTGGCAGTCGACGGGGTAGGAGGCATTGTCCCCGCAGGCAACGATGACACGCTCCCCATGCTCAACCGATGGGACTTCTCCGTATCCAGTGCCTCGCCTCCTTCGCCTGCAGTGTCTTCACTGGCATGCATGGCCATCAGTCGTCCAAGCCTCTCCTTGAGATCATCCGTAGTGCAATCCTCTGAACAAGCGACCGCATTGGCGAGACAACCGCGCTTCACCTGTCTTGTCTCTTATATTTCCTTACTCGCGCCAGATAGCGTGATGGGCGACCATGCCCCATCAGTGCACCTGATCGTCACCGTTACACCTGCTGCATCCTTGTCGGAATATGCTGGTGTCCACGACTCGCCAGGAAGGTCAGAAGAACGGCACTTGAGGGTCACCTCGGAGCCATGACGAGGTAATGTCGCAACATCGATGCCCTCACCGAATGCAGCGGTGGAGAAGAGGTCGGCGGTGGTGTTGTGGGGGCTGGCCACGTCGTATTGGTAGGGGACGTAATGGGTATTGGGCCGGGAAGGGGCGTTCTCGTCAGCAGCAAGATAAAGGAAGGGACAAGAGCCTCACCACAGAAAGATGAAGGGAACGGTAAGCGTATATGCACTGACAGTCAAAGTGTCCAGTTAGGTCTGCCTTCTCACGTACGTCGGCAGAAAATGGATGCGGCGGTCCAGGTGCCGTCAACGCATTGGATTGTGTCCTCCTCAGCCTTTTGATGGTCACTTCCCTCCACAGGGAAGTATCTCTTGGTATTGTCACACCGGATTCTCCTCGACACACCCGGGGCCACCTCGCCGGCCATTGGCCAGTGTGTATGTCTGTCCGGTGAGTCTATCACATAGCCCCGCGACTCAGGCACGTCAGATGCACACACACCTGCAGAGACACTCACACCACACAGGCAGGGCAGCGCTTATTGCCTGTCTCGCATTCATTGGTTAGACGTGGGGCGGGCAGTCTCACGTCCGCAGCGAAGCATGCTGTGGGCGAAGGATCCATCGAGACACTCCAGCAGCTCATAAGAAGCTGCATGCGCTTCACGGTGGTACTCGGGTGCATGGTGGTAAGAGCACGTGACGTTGATCTGGCTGCCGTGTGGCCAGCTCGGGCCGCCTTCATCATCAGACAGGGGCCACACCTTTTCCACACTGTACTTGGAGGAGAAGTGAGGAGCTCTCTCGCAATCCCCTGGCGTGACAGATAGACACAGACACATACACACACACATTCCCTCATGTGCCCGACGGGGTGAGAGCCGTCCAAGTTTCTTACTCATGCAGATGAGAATAAGGTCTGTCCACTTGCCGTCCTCACACCGCACTGTGGAAGGGCTGTCGCCTGTCGATGGCGAGAAGTGCCGACGGCAGCTGATGTGGAACTCGGCCTGGTGGCTCGTGAGGGGGTCCACACCCACACCAGCCTTGACGTGACGAACGACATAGCGGGAAGCCAGCAGAGTCGGGAAGGGACCTCAGCTCCCTGCACACTCACAACGTCAATGCATATGACATCAAGCAATGTGCTGTCTGTTTCTCGTGTGTTCGTGGGGCAGACCTACTTTTGCATGTGATGGTCTTTCGTGTCCAGACCCCGTTGACGCACACCAGAGAATCCTCAGTCGTGTTTCCAGCAGCGGAGGCCACAAGTGGGTCGCACCGCAGCACCCGGCGAGCGCCGTGGAAGAGGGCCCCAATGTAGGGGAGCTCTTGCACTTCATACCCAGCACCGGGATACTCATACTCCTTGCAGGAGGCTGGCAGCAACAACCACACAATAGAGAGAGACACACACATGACAGACAAGACAAGAGCCCCCCTTTCGAGCCCACCCACCGGCACATTCCAGCTCGACGTCTGTCCACTGGCCGTTCCGACACTCTACCAGCGACCTCTGTCTCGTCGGATACCCACTGCCATTGAGGAACCTGCTGTTGAAACCCTCAGCGCACGTCAGCTCCACCCGGGCGTTGTGGTAGACGGAAGAAGGGATCTCCTGGTCGCCAGTGAGCCTGCCGTTGATGACCCGCGTTTCTTCTGACGCGTATATCCACCGCTGCACAATCGACTGCCCGAGACGCAGCAGGTGATCCGTCACGCAGGGGGCTGGGAGAAAAGACACAACAGCAAAATCACTTACTTTGTCTCTCGCATTACACGATCTGCTCACCAGCGCATTGTAGAGTGAGGTCCGACCAGCTGTGTGAAGGGTTTGCAGGGTCGCCGAGACACCTGAGCGTCTCTGTCGTGTCAATCTGGGAGGTGTTGCCGGTGGGCTCGAAGGACGTCGGCACATAGCCCTCCGCGTCATTGCACCTGACACACGAGCCCAGTGAGATACAGGCATGCAGGCAGCACTGAAGAATCCTCACCGCACGTCGACTGAAAATTGCGAGGGATATGTGTCGGCGATGGTGAGAGGCGGCTCGAACCGGTAGGGGCCTGTGCACTCGTCCTGCTCAGGTTGGCAAATTTCCTGCAGGTACTGACTCTCACACCACACTGCAGACAGACAAATCAATCACACACAGCCAGCACACAGCACAGAGACCACACGACGGTGCGACTGAGACGTCCGTGCATCCATGAAATTTGTCACCCACCGACCTCTGCATTGGAGTGAGTGTGGGGACCAGTATCCATCGCTGCAGTAGAGCGTCTCCTGCGTCATGTTGGGAATGATGCTGCCGTAGCCCTCACCCTCGTCACACTGCACCACACGACGGCTGCCGTGCCGGATGTCACTGCCGATCTGCACGTAGCCTCGCAGAGGAAGCGGCACCGACGACAAACACTCGGCTGCACACCACACCACACCACACCACACACATGGCGTACACACTTGCGTCACACCTTTGCCTCTCTCTCTCTCTCTATCTCTCTATCTCTCTCATTAGCTGACCCCTGCAGTCTAGACGAATGACGTCATAAGTGCCTTCCCAGCACCGGACCTGCTGAGCAGTCATGTCTCGGTTGACCGGCACGTATCCGTCGCTGCAGGTGAGGTCAGTCACGTCACCATGGCGGTTGCCGCCGTACTTGAGAGTGTAGCGGGGCCAAGAAAGGTCCGGCCGCGCACGGGTGTTGGTGATCTTGAAGTCCTCCAAACCAGGACAGTTGTCTGCAGACAGACGCACAGAGGGAGGGGCTACAGGACTCATCATTAGGATGCAGCAGTAGCGGATGGCTTACAGTGGCATGAGAGCGTCAGTTTTTGCCACCTGCCCCCCAAACACCAAATCCGCTGCGGGTCGGCCGCGCAGTCCTGGCCGAATTTGTGACACGATGCTGCGGAGATCCGCCTGTCACAGCCGATCTCTATCCAGCCCCCCTGATGCCTCACGTCACCCAGGTGCATGTTCGGCGGGCGGCTGGTGTGGTTGGCCCGAGACGTGTTGACAACCACGCAAGGGGGTGACGGGGCCTCGTACCGCGGACACGGGGCTGCAGAACAAGCAGCGTCAATGGGAATCAATTGCTGATCCGTGGTACTCACTCACCTTCGCAGCTGAGGTCCAGCTCTGTCCATCGGCCGTGTGAGCAGTACACGACAGCGCTGTCAGCGCCTGATGTCGACCGGTAGGGCTCTCTGCACGTCACAGTCCGCACGGCACCATGCCGTACGCTGCCTGACCCACCCTCGATGCGGTAGTGGGGACCAAGGTCAGGATACCCCCCACACGAAGCTGAGAAAAAGGAATCTGGTGTGTGCTGTGCTGTCTGTCATCGATGTCAGAGCTGCTCACTGACCGAAGCATTGGAGTCCCGGACTGGTCCACTCTCCGTCAATGCACTTGACGTGCCGGGGGCCGCTCGGGACGCCCTCGCCCAGCTGCAGCCCTTCGCGACATGACACCTCCACCACTGTGCCATGCCGCTTGTCGTGCGTGTGGTTGGAGACATGCAGGTCACGGGGAGCTATCAGCTGATAGGACAAGGCGAAGTCACCTGCAAGCAACAAGGGAGGTGACTCGCAGAGAGAATGGATTGGCCTGACTTCAGGCCTACGTCTGCAGTTGAGCGACGGCGGCGTCCACCTGCCGTGCTCGCACACGATCGTCTGCGTGTGCGTATGCCGATGTCCGGGGCTGTATCCGAGATGGCACCGCAGTGTCCGTGTCTCGCCCGGCATCCGTGTTGGCGTCGTTTTTGGGCCCTCAAGCTCTATGTAGTGCCGATTCAGCTGGTGGACGGCCTCGTACTCAAACCATGGCTCACACAACTCTGATACAACCCCATATATATCATTGGTGTATGTATCTGGGGTCTCTGCATGTGTCGTCTGTCTGTCACTTTTGCATCCGATGGAGCACGTCCCGTCATCTTCTGGCGTGTCGCACTCCTCCCCTCCGTCTACAACGCCGTTGCCGCAGTAACCAGATCGGCCTGAAAAGGGACAGGACAACGAAAAGAAAGAGGTCAAAAATCTCTCTTTCCCGCGAATTCTCTTCGATATTCATTCTCATACATACCTAGAATGGCGTCCATTTCGTCCATCCCTTTGATGACTTGGTCACCAGTCAAGGGACGGAAACGGACCATTAGCGACCGCATGGAACCTGATCGAATCACGTGGACGCTATCCCGCGGACTATCTCGTTCTTCTGTGTTGTGTGTAAGACATACCGTGGAGGCAATGGTGGCCGTAAAGGTCACATCCGACAACGAATGGCCCCCGCCGGTGGAGAGAATCAATCGCACGGCTGTCTGTGATCCAGTCGCCCTCCTCTGCCGTCAAGAGGGATCTCTCACGATAGACCCACACCTACAGAAATAACGGCAGCACACTTACTTGGCCTTTGTGGCGTTTGTCGCTCTTCTTTTCCCTTCATACTCTGAGCTTCGGTGTGTCTGTTGGGTCTGGCACCAACCGGATGACGATAGCGTGCATCACAGGGAGGTCAGTGGATGTGGGCACCACCACAGAATCGTTGCCCACTCGCAAGCCAAAATGCACCGGCCCCCCTTGCCCTTCGCCCTTATCCCTCTGCACGACCACCTGGAGCCCCGTGGTCCTGTCCAGTAACACTGATGCCAGGGAGGAGGGGCTGGGCGTGCTGAAGAGCACAAATATCGTCCAGCCCTCGTCCCCATCGAGGTCTCGGGTACTCAGCACAGACAAACATGCCGCCTGTGTCTTGAGGGAATGTGGTGTGGTGAAAGAGGGAAGGTGACACCCAATCTGAATTTAACAGTCTTTGGCCAATAGCGGTCGGTTGTCTTTCCCTCTCTCACTCAACTCACCCCGCAGAGAATATGGGTACCCTGGCCGTGTCATTCGGCACCAGCGATGCATCCAGGCTGCTGACCCTCTTGTAGTTCTTCCACCGGATCACACCATTGCGGCGCTCACCCCGCCTGACGAACACCCGCTGGCCAACGTAAGTGAGCCCCTCGTCCATCATGCTGCTGCACTGTCGCTCCGTCACATCAGGCCTGTGTGTCTGTTGCACCAGCTTCCTCCATCCCCGAGCACGCCTCGCTGAGCATTACATACAGAGAATGTAGTATCACACATACATGACATGAGTGAGTCAGTCAATCGTTTTGTCCCTCCATGCATGGCCTTCCTCACCTCTGTGTCCGATTTGCAGGAGAGAGGGCACAGCTCCGAATGCCCTCCTGCCCTGATGGCCAGGCCTTAGAGATAGGTCCTCGGACGCGTGTTCACCTGTAGACGTGTCCTCGTCGCTGCTGTTCTGAGCCGACACAGAGTCTGCCTGTAGCCCCTCGGCCCCTTGAGAGTCATCGAACCACAGCCTCTGCAAAGCCCAATTCACATGGCGGCTCACAGCAGCAAGGACGTTTGTGCGGTTGATGGGCTCCTCTGCAGCAGTGTGCTGCGTGTGGTTGTGGTGCCGGAAGAAGCTGGCAAGATGGCCGAGGAGGAAACTTGAAGAGGGTGGGCAGCCCAGCAGTGCAATGAGAAGGAAGCAGACCATCCGCATACTCGCCGCTGATCATGTTATGCCCTCTTCAAGCATTGTTGCACTGGTGTTCCGCATTTCATGCATTGGCTTGCGAGCTAAGCTTGCAGACCTCAGAGGTCTTGAGCTCGCGGTTCACTAGCTCTTTGAAATGGCTTTATCTCCCCATCTGCTTGATGACGCGTTCAAGGTGAAGAGCGTGGACAACTCCAAGTTCGAGAAGGTGTCTCGCGTCAAGTGCGAAGGCATGTCACTGGAGCTCGAGATGACCATCGACATCAACACGGACATCTTCCCCATCAACGAGAACGAGGTCGTCAAGATCGCACTCAACGACAAACTCGCCCCACCGGACGTGGAGGGCGGGCAGTACTTCTGGGACAAGGGCGGCGACGTTATGGACATGTGGGACTACATCATGTATGGCAAGATCTTCAAGTACCAGGAGAAGGGCGACGAGAAGGTCAACCTCTACGCATCCTTCGGCGGCTTACTCATGAGTCTCTCCGGCGACCGCATTCACCTCGAGAACCTCCAGCTCGACACGAGGATATACTTCTTGCTCAGGAGGGACCACTAGCGAGGCGCTGCGCTGCGCTGTGCTGTGCGGGATGGACGGACGCATGTGAGTGTGCGTGGGAGCAGCTTTTGCTCGGATGCTTGCTTTATGGATTGGGGAGAGAACGGATGAGCCTGTTTTTCATGTGGTGTTGACATGGGCAGAGAGTGAGAGAGAGGACCCTGTGTTGGTAGCGTGTGTGTGGCATTTGGTCTTCTGCCTGTCCGTTGTGTGCGATTCCATTACGACGCAGGATCTGCCCAGCGGGGCGGCCAGAAGACCAAATACCATACCATTCGTGTGGACAGCTCAGCTAGCAAAGACGGTACGGTGTTCTGTCGTCGAATGTTTCTTTGATGTCTGTTCCCTATGGCATGAGTGGAGCGCTGCTGGCTGACGGCGCCATTCGTCGGTGACACGATGAATGGTCGCGGTTTCTTGGCAGCGCTATACTCATGTGATGGGATGCGGACAGACACTTACGGATGTGGTGTGATGACATTCCGTTGCGATCGATGATCAGGTGGGGGGTGTACATATGATGAACAAGTGGAACAATCGCTATCTTCAATCCAACAACATAGGGGACAGTGTCGTGCAATTGCGTCCGTCGAGGGCAGGAGCACATCTATCTCATCACGTGGATGCAGCCAAGTACACATACGCATCATACCCCATACCACTCACAGCCCGGGCAGCGGCAGCCCCTCGTCGTCCTCAAACTCATCCTCCTCAGGCATCATCACTCCGCCCCCACTCGACTGCTCCCTCTCCCTCTCCCCCTCTATCAACCGGTCAAGCTCAGCCAAGTTCCCACTCCCACGACTCTTGCCACCGATGAAGTAGCTCTTGCCCTCCTCATGCCCGCCAGCCAGGGTCCCCATGCCGCCGCTTGCCGATCCGAATATGGGCGGCTGCGTGGCTGTCTCCGTGGCTGTGGAGTTGGGCTTCGATGTCTCATCGGCGGCCTTTTCTTCTTCTCCTCTCGGCAGTGGGAGTGATGGAAGGGCCTCTGGATGCTGTGAATGTGGAGGGGGCGGGGGAGGGGCGGCTGTGGCAGTCTCATCGGCTGACTTGTTGAGCTGTCCAGAGCTGCCCCCGTGCTCCATGATGGAGGGCAGAGTGCCGACCTTCATGGTGTTGTTGTTGGTCTCGCTGGGAGAGCCGAAGTCGCCCGTCCGCTCCCCCCACCGCTGTCCACTCACCGGCGGTGAGATAGTCGGGGCCTGCCCTCGTCCTTCGCGGAATGATGGCTGGTTGGCTGTCCTGTCCGTCGTCTGCCTGTCGGTGTGGAACGGAGACGTGGCCGTGCCCAGCTCGGATGGCGGCAGGGAGGTGCCCAGCGGCTGGGCGATTGGCGAGGGGCGTCTGTGGAGTGCGGGGGTCGAGTGGGAGGAGAGGGGAGGGAGGGGGACCGTCAGGCTGTCTGTCTGCTGGCGGGCGCGGGAGTGGACGGAAGAGAGTGGCGGTGGGGCGGTGTTCATCTGCATGTGCATGTGGAGGTCCGTTTGGAAGGCGTCCAGTCTGTGGAGGTCATGCAGCAGGTCCTGCTCCATCCTCTCAAGCGCACTGAGACAGACAGACATGCCAACACACATAATTATGTATGCACGTGAAGCTTTCTTGTTGGAAGGAATGGCTTCTGTTCGGCGCACTTATATGTTCTGTTCTTCAATGCTGTGGCGATCGTCGCACTGCGCGAGGCATCGTCATCAAACACCATGTCCTGCACCCACATCCACCACACACAGAGACACGCCCATCGATCGCCCATGACACCCAAACACCGAAATGGCTTCGTCCACTCACCCCAGCCGATGCTCTTGCCGGTGCTGTCCTGGGGTGCGGCCCTATCTCGCCAATCACGTCGTGGTCACTGGGGTCCAGCCCCAGCTGCAGCATCACCTCGGCACCCCACGACCCGGCAGGCAGCTGCGATCGCACCGGCAACATCGCCTTCACTATGCGAGGCGGGGCAGATGGGGCCTCAGGTGCACGCGCCAGTCCTTCCGTCTCCACACGTCTCGGGGGCGGTCTCTCGGCCTCCACTCTGACGGCTGCCGGTTGATGTGCCGCAAGCCGTGACTGGGCCTCGAATTCTGAAGGGCTGAAGGTGGGTGAGGGTGATCCAGAAGACAGCTTCGCCCTTTGGTCGACAGCAAGGGCCGACCTCTTGGCCCCAGCAGCCTTCTTGGCCTTGGCTGAGCGCCGCGCACCCCGGGAGAGCTTGCTGATGTGCGACAGCCGCGACACCTTGGACAGCCCGTCGTAAGAGCCGGGAGAGCACTCTGGCGATGTCTCCAAGTCCTCGTCGTGTTGATAATCCCCTTCATCGCTTTTCTCCCTCGCCATTGGGATGCTCTCTGGGAGTGTCTGTGGCTCTTGCCACTTGAGGCGGCTGCCTGGCGTCGGGGAGCCGATGGAGAGAAAACGGGCCTGAGACGCTGACCGCCCGGCGGACGAGCGGGATTGGTCGTCATGGCGGGGGGAAGAGACAGATATGATGGAGGGATTGGAGGCACCGTTGGTCAGCTCCCCGGCCAGGAAACGTACAGTGGAGCTGCTCGTTCCCTGATAGATAGAGAGGGAGGCACGAGAGGGCGGGCGCGTGAAGCGATCATGTCCCCCTTGCATGTCAGTCAACTCACTCATGTGCAGCTGACTGACCTCATGTCGCACGAATATGTGTTGGACATTTGGTGCGGGTGCCGTGGCGGCGTGTGGGGGCGGCTGCATCCTCTGCTCCAGCAGCTGCAGGTACCGACGCCGGGCCTCGTCGTTCAAACGCCGCTGGCACAACAAGCGGAAGGGAGAGAGAAGCGTATGAATGAATGAGTGACGTGCAGGCCCTTTCATATTGTCACGTCTCTGTCGTCCGTCACTCACCTGTTCGTCGGCCAGCTCCTTCCTCGCTGAGTGCAGTTCCTACGTATACCATTGGACAGGCATTGCAGGCCTTCACCTGACTGTCTGATGCCTTCCTTCATTGTGTCTGTCTAGTGTTTGTATACCTCCCTACCTGCATGAGCTGCTGCTGCACCGTCCAGAAGCGATCCAGCTCCAGACGACGAACCTTCAAACGCTGCCGAGAACGAACCGGAAGAGTACGATCATTGTGTGTGTGTGTGTGTGTGTACCGCCTTACCTCTGTTTGTATCTGTGTCCTGTTTATGTGTCTCCTGCAGTCCTCCTCCACCTGACGCTGCCACGATAATGACGCGGACTGCACAGACACACACACACGGAGCCAAGTATTGGTAAGAGGATATCTGCGCATCCATCGCCTGCCATGATGTTGATCTCACTGACTGACCTGTATGATGTTGAGGAACTGCGACTTCTGGTCTTTGAGCACATGGCTCGTCGATATACTGTTTGTTAACGAACAAACAAACCATTGCACATGCATGCAAGCGTATAGCGCACCCTCGCTGCTGTGCTGTGCATACCCGAAGAAAGGCGACCTGCCCCGTCCCCTGGGGCTGATGGACTGTGACTTCCGATGCAATTCCTTCAACAGCCGCTGGTTCCTGTCATTCATCTTGGGCTCCTCTGCCTGCATGGCCGGTGAGGTGACATCGATAATGAATGGCACAACACCAGCGGACAACCGGCCTCTGTGCGCACCTGTATCCTGTCGAGCCTCTTCTGCATGATTTTTGCCCGGATGCCCTCCTCCCGACACACCACCTCGCGACGCAGCACAAGCCTGCAAACATGGCAACAGACAGAACGGGCATGGCCGAGTGCATGCGGTCGCTTCTGCGGCTGCATACCTCTCATCCAGGTGCTGTCGGCGCTTCTCACTACACGGACACCAGACAGACACCAAAACAATTATCAGACCGTCTCATGTGTGATCCGTCCCTGTGTGTAGCCTCTGTTCGTTTGCCTTTCCCTCCCTGGTCTTACAGGTCTTCGAGACGTGACTCATAGTAGAGAAAGGGCCCTGCTGCCGCCGGCCCTACCAACTGGGCTCCAGCAGACACCGAATGCATGAAACACGCACGTCAACCAATTGAGTCCAACTTGTCCGATTCCGATTGTCTGTGTCCGATTGTCTAAGTCCCGGAGTTCGATTGCGGATGCCACGGGCCCCAAAAGCTCGCCTCGGGGGGCAGGTTTCCCTCCATTCCCTCCCGCATCGCAGCCACGGCTCGTTGCAGGCCATACACTCCAATCGCATCCGGCAACCCGCTCCGGCGGCTGATGGCTTGTTCACGTCATCCATCGGCCATCATGCTGGTGGCTGGCATTGCAATGGCCATCATCGCAGCAGCGAAAGCCTACGAAACGAGAACAAGGGAACAGCTGGACGCACTCATCTCTCCAAGGGGGACATTTCGATTTGGTAAGCACCGCCTCTGCAGTGCGGTCCTTACTGTCATCATGGCTCCTTGTTGCAATGCAGGCCATCGGCACAGTGCAGCCGTCAACGCGTCAACGCCCTCTGCCTTTCTGGAGGAGGATCAACCGACTGAAGAGAAGACCGAGGGGGCAGGTGCGGTTGAGAACACCCTCAAGAGCCTGCTGGCCCGGTTGGGGTGCACCGACATCCAGGACAACATCTTCGACGCCTATGTGGGCAGCCAGGAGGGCGGTGGGTGTGAGACCAAGCTGGCGACGGGCACCAGCCCAGCCGAGATGTGCATGCAGAACTGGATTCCGGAGAAATCCAACAATCTCTTCTTTGTGAGGCCACTGGGAGGGAGACACAAACTGCTTATACCTACCAATTCGGGTGCACGTGTTTCTCTCTGTCCAGCGTGGGCTTAAGCTGATGCATGTCTGCCAACGGAGCTGTCAGGCCTGCGGTGAGGAGCAGCTGATGTATTCTCTACCATGCACAGACTTTTTGTCTTGTCTTGTTTGTGCAGCGTTTAACATCAAGACGACCACCCCTGAATGCCCCGACGAGTGCCTCACCAACCAACGATGCCTCGACGCTAAGGCACTGGTAACTCTTATGAACATCCACACTCTGCCTGCGTAGCTCATCGTCCATGGATCCATCTGCCTCTCTTTCCTACAGCGTGAGTGCATTCCCTTCGAGCGCTCCGGTCAGTTCGAGCTGGCCTTCGTTGACCCATGCACTGCCGCCGACTGCGTGTCCAAGCTAACTCCCGGCGCCTCCCGTCCGTCGGCTGCAGAGCTGGCCGACAGCCCCTGCAAGGAGCCCCGGTTCCAGATGCGCAACGTCCGGGACGATGTGTGCCTGAGCATCGCTGAAGAGGAGGAGAGCGGGGCGCCCAAGGTGACGACGGAGCCGTGTGAGTCGGCCGGCACGGCGGGGCAGACCATCTCCAAGAAGCAAATGTGGAGGATCAAACACCAGCGTACGTACGAAGGAAGGAAAGGAATGATCACCCCGTTGGTGTCTGTCTCTATCGCTGTGGTGGATGGGGGCTGGGCTGGGCTGGGAGTGTTTTGCAGTCGAGAAGACCTTTCAGATCATGAGCAGCAGACGCTGCTCTGCCTGGCCAGAGACGGTAAGCAAACCATATATCAAGAGGAAGACCTCAATGCGTTTTTCACGTGCAAGCTGCCCGTCCGTCCACCCACAGATGTGGATCCCCCCACGGCGTACCGGCTGGTGGACTGTCCTGCTGACAACCCAAAGAAGGGCCACCCAGGCATCTGGCAGATCGAAAAGACACCCAACAGTCAGCAACGAGCCAGAGAGAATAATACGCCCGTTCATCCGCCCGCCTTCACTCTCTCTCTCCTCTATATCTGTGTGCAGTCTGGACAATGAAGGCCGGCCAGCAGGGCTGCCTCACCTACACCGGCAACGTGAGAAAAGAATGACGACAAAATATATCACACGCGGCCGAGAGAACCCTCTATCTCATCTTGTGTTGTGTCTCACCAACCACACAGGGTGAGGCAGCAGGTCTGGAGATATCGACAGAGTGCGGGAGGAACCCCTCCCAGTCCAACCCCACCTTCCAGAACATCTGGGCCATCCTCCCGGGCGCCGGCTGCACCGAGATCATGGAGAAGTTCAAAAACAACAAGAACGAGGACACCACACGCGTCTGCAAATACAGATTCAGAAACATGAACGGCATGGTTGGCTGAGCTGAGCTACGACACACACACACACGCACACAGGGCAGAGGGGGGGAGACACACACATACCGTCTCTCTGTGTGTGGTAGTGTCTCGGCATGCTGAGCAAGAATCTGACGGACACGATCAGCTACGAGCTGCAGATGCGGCAGTGCGACTACAGGCCCAAGGACTACTCCCTCGAAAAGAGAGTACAAGAGGAAAAAGCCCCAGAACAGCCAGCCGTCATTGGTCCACATCTCCGTCTGTGTGTCTCGGTGTCTCTCTCTCCACGTGGCATCTTTGTCTGTCTGCCCCAGCATCGTTTCAAGCGTGAGATTTGGAACGACGAGTGGGACGTGGCCTACATGAGCGAGTGCGTCGACAAGGTCAAGAACCACTTCTTCAGACTCATGGTTGGCCCGACACCTCTCACACGCACAGAGACAGACAGACAGACGGACAGACAGGCAACCCCTGTATGTGTGTTGCGTGTTTCAGAAAAGGACAGCTCAGGACGGCTTCAAGTGTCTGGAGCCGCTCAACGAGAGCCCCTACTTCGGAATCGTCGACTGCTGGGACGACGCTGGGCAGAATAAGAACATTCTCAAGAAGTCTGACTGTCCATCCAAGTGCTGGTACGTTAAGCCGACTTGCTGAGAGAGCGCCTGATTGTGGCCAGGCCACGGCTGCCATCGGCTGTGGTTGTGTTGTGCTGCGTGTTTGCAGGAAATTGGAGAAATTTGAGAACGCCATTCAGCACATGACGGCCTTTGAGACCGAGAACAAGCAGACCACTGACACCAAAAACGAGGAATCGGCCGAGGGCTAAGTGTCGGCTGGGAGGGGTGGGAGGATTGCTGAGTGTCGTCCGTCCTGACTGCTGACGGTGTGTGTGCATGTGTGTGTGTGTGTGAATGAATGGGTGTGTGTACGCTGTTGCTGTGTCCGTGCCGCATGTATGTAAATCATTTGATCGCACTGAGCACGCAGCCATTCCATGACGCTACCATCAACACAACACGGGTTCGTGAATACGTCTGTCGCCGGTCGCTACGATCGACGGCGTCACACCTGAACAAACACACACACACACACACACACATGAGAAGAGCACGTCGACGTCCATGTGTGCAGGCGCGTATTATCGTGTCACCCCGCCCACCAGAGAAAGCACATCGATTTCCGTCGCTGTGAAGTTCTTGTCTGTCGCCAGTATGCCCTTGCCCTCATCCATCGCCCCCCGATAGCCGGGAGGCAAGTGGGCCTCTGTGACCCACACGTGGCAGCTGCGCAGGTCAGCAGCTGGACCGGGCTCGGCCTTGCCCAGCCAGAGCACTGCTGCACCCATCTCGCCGATGTACACGTTGCCGCTTGACTGCCCACTGCTGCCCAGCACCGCCCCCTCCCGCCCCGCGACCGCCACGCTCTGTGGCTTCTCTGCCGGCAGGGGGATCTTGGTTGGCGCGTCATACGCCCCGCTGATGCTGTAGAGCGATATGGGGCAGCGGCTGACCTTGTGGCGTGTGGGGTCGGCGGGCTGTGCGAGGGGGCCGTCGATGAAGGCGCTGAATTTGTGTGTGCTGCCGTCCTGGATGACGAACAGCAGGCCGCTCGCGTCGCCGACACCGTTGAGCAGGTCGGTGTACGCAGCCCCGTCGCGACTCATCCTGCACAAATATTTCACCCACAGAGACCCAGTGCATATGATACGATAGAAGCAAGCCCGCATTCATTTCCTTGTGTTTTTCTCCGCCCTCACTTATAGAGGAGCTTCAGCTGCCGGTCTCGTTTGTCCATCATCGTGAGCACCCTCTTGACCTCGCTCGCCGATGCGATGCTGGTGCGAAACTCCTCTTTCTTGATGCCGTACATGGTGCAGTCCTCCTCCAACGCCTCCATCATCGATGCCTGTACCACCGGCGGTTTCACCGCGCTGCCCGCCATGCCGGTCCTGACACAGCCGTACACATCAATTGGCTGCATGCCTGTTTTGTCCATTCCTCCGGCGGCCATACCGCTGTCTGCGGGCGAAGTCGACGATGCGCCGGAAGTGCTCAAACGATGTCTTGCGCACATCCGCACCGCTCCACGCCACCGCATCCCTGGCCAGCACCCCAAAGTGAAGTCGTGGAGAAGGCGCACAGCTCTCTGTCTGCCACCTGCCATCCGTGTGTGATGTGCGTCAGCTCACGTGTCGAATCTATTGTAGAGCGCATGATTGGTCCCGAGGCGGTTGAGTGTGGCCTTAACCGTCGACACGGTCTCGCCACGGATCTGCACACTCACGATGGTGTCCTCCTCCACATTGCCGCTCTTCAGAAATGGCCCCAAAAAATCGATGAGCTTCTCATACGCCCACTTGGTGTTGCGCAGTGCCATGATGCGCCGCTTGACACCAGCCAGGGCCCTGTCGGCTACGTCCGCCAGTCCCTCCAGCGACCGGTCGTTGCCTGCTGGGGGGGTGGCTGGCGTGTTGACGGGTGGCGTGAGGTCGAGTTTGGTGGCGAAGATGGCGTGGGGCTCTGCGTGCGCAGGATCGGCGGCCTCCGGATCGAACAGCACCAGGCCGCCCAGCTGCCCAGCATACACCATGGACACCTGATCTGCATGTGACACACACACACACACACGACAGAGGAATCAGAATCTCATCTGAAACAGTCGCCTTCATCGCGCTCACCGGCCAGTCTATCGAAGTACCCATCGAATGAGTCGACGAACGGGTTGCCGGCGGCATCCTGGGGGAGGGCGGCTCTGAAGTACAGCAGCATCTGAGCCACAACCGTGTTGTGCAGCTCGGGGTGGACCAACGCCTCGTACGGAAACGACAACACGCGACCTGCAAACACACCACCCACACAGATCATCAAACAAATCTGAAACGGGTCGTCCGTTGCACTGCACTGATCTTCACGCCTCAAGCTCACCTCCCACGTTGAGCCGCAGATACTCCTCCAGGATGCCGTGCTCCAGCACACCGCCACTGCCCTCTATCATCCCCTTAATCTCATCCACCAGTCGCTTGGCCTCTAACTCGGCGGCCTCCACTGCACTCTGCACGCTAGCCTTCCAATCGTCAAGCGAGTCGGCCACTGCCGCCAGACAGGCGTCGATGGTCGGCAGACCGCTCGTCAACTCACGCAGGCTGGATGGATCAGCGAGACCAGCGGGCAGCTTCCGCTTCTTGCTGGACGGTGCTGCCGCTGCAGCAGCAGCTGCCGCCATGGCGAACAAACCAAAGAGATAGCGATGCCGCTTTCGGTTAGCGTCGGAATCGCGAAACTGTCAGGATGAGCTAAGCTCGCAGTCTCAGTGAGGAATCGGCTGGTCGTCTGGAGGGGAAACGCAGCTGCCTGAGCCGAGCATCTACGCCTGCAGCTATGGCCACCACGCTGGAATCTTCCTGCGCCAAGAGCTCCTCTATCCCATCGCGGATCCGCTCTCTCTTCTGGGGATGCTCACTGCTGCTCACTGCTGGAAGGAGTGCTCCACTCTCAGCATCACCGCAGCGTCAGCTGGAGCCCGCCTCCCACTCGGCCTTTCAGTTCCCGTCAAGGAGGCTGCTCGGCTCACAGAGGCACAAGCGCTCGGTGGATCTCGTGAGGCCGCCAAGGCGGCGGGTCGCGGCAACGGTGCGGCTCGGCGAGGCCGACACAGACGCGGCGACGGCAGCTGTCGAGGCGCCCCCGTCAGAAAGCGATAATACTGGTGGTGATGATGGCGATGAGGATCTGCCTGTGGGTTCTTCTGTGTCTGACGCCAGTGTGGTGTCGTCCCTGGTGGGTCCGTTGCAAAGCAACCCCGCCGAGGGCGTGTTCCTTGCGCCGAGGACCAGCCACTCGCCCCCCATCTATAAGTTCGACGAGGACGGCATCGATGTGGTGACTTTGGACAGGGTGGATCTGCAGCGAAGTGGGGAGCCGCAGTGGAAGGCCGCCACCACCGAAACCGAAGTGCCGCATCATCGGACGTCGGGCAACAAGGTGAGGGCCCAGACAGATAGACAGACAGCCAGACAGACAGCCAGACAGGCAGACAAGTAACTGTACTTTCCTCACACGTGCTTCTGTTGTCTGTCTGTCTGTCTGTCTGGTAGGACATCTTTTGCAACCGTGAGCTGGAGATGCGCAAGATCCGTGCGGTCGGCTTCGACATGGACTTCACCCTGGCGCAGTACAATGTGGCCTTCGACCTGCTGGGCTACCGGGGGGCGCAGGAGAAGCTCGTCTACAAGTACGGCTACCCAAAGGAAATACTCGCCTTCCAGTACAACCCGGCCTTGTTTCGGCGGGGTGTCGTCATCGACAAGGCCAGGGGCAACTTCCTGAAGGTCGACCGGCACAAGTACGTCAAAACGGTCTTCCACGGCACCCGGATGCTCAACTCGGAGCAGAAGAGGACGCTCTACCTCGAGTACTTCGATCGAATGCCGTCCTTCTCGGAGAAACACTATGTCGCCATCGACACCCTCTTCCAGGTCACAAAGACAGAACGAACAAGATCAGACTCACACAATGGGCTGGGCAGTCTCATCACCCTCTCTCTCTCTCCCTGTTTGTGGTTGTGTGCTGTGCAGCTGGTCGACGCGTGTCTGTTCGCCCAGCTGGTGGACCTGAAGGACACCCGGCCCGACTTGTCCTTCCCGCCCTACTCCCAGATGTTCGACGAGGTGCATCACTGCGTGGACATGTGCCACCGCGACGGCACCATCAAGGAGACCGTCGCACAGGACCCCGCGAGATACGTATTCCCCGACCTCAACATCGTGCCCATGATACAGAGATACCGAGCCAGCGGCAAGAAGGTGACTGAGGGAGTGAGTGGGGTGGGCAGTGGCGGGAGGGAGGGAGCGGAAGGCACCACACCATGGCGGATGGCTTGGCTTATGTGTGTGTGTGTTTTTGTTGTATGTGTGATGTGTAGGTGTTTCTGCTGACCAACAGCCACTGGGACTACACCCATGTGGCCATGAACTTCATAGTCGGGTGAGCCGGAGCCGGGACACGCAACGCAGCGCAACGCCCGACCATCTCTGCTTTGCCATTCTTGCAACAGCAACAACTATGAAGAGGAGCGGGGCTTGGACTGGCTGGAACTCTTCGACATCGTCATCGTCGGCAGCGGGAAACCGAGTAACTAGATGGCAGCCATCTGGGCACTCGTCTGTGGCCTTTATGTGTGTGTGTATGCCATGCGGATTGATCAGATTTTCTGAACGACCCCAATCTGCAGCTGTTCCGCGTCAACACGACGGACGGCAGTCTGGCCAACGCCGACCTCACCATTGTCGACGGAGATGAGGACAGCATACAGAGGTTTTTGCAAAAAGTAACCTAACCAAACCCACGCCACGCCACAGACATACCCACTCTCACCTCACACACGAGTTCATCTCACCTCTCCTCTGTCTGTGTGCGTGTTGATCGATCCATCGACCAGGGTCATGTGTTCCAGGGGGGCAACTGGAAGCACCTGCACAAGCTGCTGCGGGTAGAGTCGCGGGGCAGCGAGATTCTCTATGTGGGCGACCACATGTACTCGGACATCCTCCAAGGTCACACACACTGACTGGGCTGACACACGACCTCCCATGTCATGGGCACCAAGTGTGTGTGTCTGCTCTGCTCTGCTCTGCTCTGCGTGTGTGTGTGTGTGTGTGTGTTGATAACCAGGGAAGAGGAATTTGGGTTGGCGGACATGTCAGATCGTGCCTGAGCTGGCTTACGAAGTCAAGATCCTCCAGCAGGAGAAAGATGTACGTGACCCACACACACATATGCTTTTCCCCTCTCCCCCTCCCCCATCCCCCATCCACCTTTATCTCGTGTGTGTCAGCTCGCCGGCACCATTCAGCGAATGAGAAACGAAATGCAGGACATCGACGTGGTCCTCGACGACCTCAAGATGCAGCTCGTCAGCCTGCGGACCACCCGAATGAGGACACCCAGACCCCCGCACACACACGCCTTGGCACAGGGGAGTGATGAGCATCTTGATCTTGATCTTGATGCCGATCCCCGGATGCCGCATGTGGTGGCCCATGCCGACCACACCCACACCCACCACCAGGTCAACAACTACCATGGCCATGATGCTCCTGCAGATGGTGACGCGGATGAGTCGCCACTGCTGCACTTGCGGCACGAGCATGAGGATGAGAACCTCGCGAGGGCCGAGCAGATACTGGTCGAGCAGGTGCGTGTGGGTGGTTCGTGTGTTGTGTTGGTGGGCGATCTGATCTGATCATGTGTGTGTATGGGTGCCTGAATGTGTGTGTGGACAGATCCATCGGTGGGAGGCTGAGCAGCAGGACCACAAGCTGAAGCTCAAGGAAATGAACTGGGTCAGTCAGTGGCGCAGAGGTGGCACACAAGGTGACGTGACTGCTTTGGTTGCGTGTGTGTGTTGTGTGTTGTGTGTGTGGTTGTGGTTGTGGTCATCAGTTGTACCACAGCCGTTTCCATCCCATATGGGGGCAGCTCTTCAAAGCGGGATACCAAGACTCTCGGTTCGCCAAACAGGTGAGGGCAGGGCTCCGACACAAACACACACATAGGTGCCCTCCCTTCCCACACACAGCAAAGACCGACCCTTTTCTCTCTCTCTCTCTCTCTCTGTGCTTCCATCCATCGTCACTTCAGGTTCAGGATTACTCCTGCATCTACACATCACGGTCAGCACCCACCCACCCACCCACACACACACACCCGCACCGAGCCAGCCAGACAGACAGACACGCCCTTTTCTCTTGTCGTGTGTGTGCAGTGTCAGCAATCTCGGCTTGGTGTCGCCCGAGCGGGGTTTCCGGACAGTCCGCGAGACGATGCCACACGACGCCACGCTCGACATGGACGAGATGTGATCGATAGATACTCCAACACAGAGATTCTGCTGACTGTATGGATGGATGTTCGTCCGGGGCGTGGCAGCCAGCGGTACATAGCTATGAGGGAGCGAGGCAAGTTTATGTGTGTGTCTGTGGACGGATGGATGTGTGTCTGTGGATTTGTGTCTGTGTGTGGGATACAATACATACGTCTCTCTGTAAGGGTCTTCTTTTTCGGTGGGAGCAGGGGAGCGTGGGAGAGCCGAGGGGAGAGAAGAGGAGAAAGAAGGAGTGTGTAGCATATATACGAGTCTCTCTCTTTATATATATCTGTCGCCGGATGGTCTGTCTGTGTGGCTGCCCTCATGTCGACGCCTACACATACGCACACACACACCCAGCGGCCGGCCATGTGTGTGTGTTGACGAAGTGCCATCAATCGTCCTATTTTTGTGTGTCCCACGGCAGCGATCGCTGGGTGGGCTGCTCGCTCCTGGCTGCTCCCCCCTGCCGCTAGCTGCCTGCCTGCCTGCCGTCCGCCCCTTTTCTCTGTCTCTCTGCGATGCTCTGTGTGTGTGTGTGTGTGTGTGTTGATGTCTACCTGGCTGGCATCATGCCATCATGTGCTCATTCATTGGGTCTCTGTCTGTCTGTCTGGCATTCTCTCTCTCTCCCTCTCTGTCGTCCACACACACATGGGATTTTTCTCTGCGGTTCGCTCGGCCTCCCTGCCTGAGCCGACCCGTGACTTTACTTTGCCGATCGATCTCGATCGATGGATCACTTTTTCTCTCGTCGACTGACTGGTGGATGGTGTTGCGGCTGGGAGTGTGTGTGTGTGTGTGTGGGGGGG